TCCTAATTGTCTGGTCTTTGCCTCAAACAGGAATTTCCTTTCCTATCAGAATAGGTTTCACTGCTTACACTATGGGATGTTAAAAAAAAAAAGTAATAAAATAAAGCAGTGGATAAGCTAACATTATTTCAGTCAGACCTGCTTGGTGTTTTCAGAGGGGGGGAAAAAATGAGCAAGTAACTTTTTGGGGTCAAATGCACGTTAGAAGCAAAGCCAAGAAGAACTCATTTCAGAGTAGAAATATTTCTACCCCTGCTTCAAGGAAAATTCAGTGAAAATTTACAGATTTTTTCCCCGTGATGATAAATTGGAAGCCGCCCCCCCCCCCAAATAAGCTGAAACTGACCAGCAGAGAAATCTGAACAGGTGAAACAACAAAAAGCTATTGCAGATAACCAACACTTACAAAACCTTGTGGTGTTTTGGCAACGCTGACGGTGTATGTGGGCCTTTGTGTTTTCACCCCTTGGGATCTGGGTGGAGTTTTCTCATTGTGCAGACTATCCTGCAGGCAACAACAGCAACAACAACAAAAAGAAGAAGCAGAGATTAAAACAAGTTTTAATGCAAACAGAGGTGGGGAGAAGGAAGCCGGTCTACGTGATATTCCTGATAAAGATATTTGAGACATGCTATTATACAGGAAGTCCTCGACTTATGACTGTAACTGAGCTTAACAGTGTCATCGTTTGGGCCAGTCGCTAAGCAAAGTCAATGAGGAAGCCAGATTCACTCAACAACCGTGTTACCAATTTAACAACTGCAGTGATTCCCTTCACTTAAGTCGGAAAACGGGGCAAAACTCACTTAAGAGATTTCTCAGCACCATAAATTCTGAGCTCAGTTGTGGTCTTAAGAAGAGGACGACTTGTTACTGATCAACCTTCTGCCCACAAGATAGGTGATGAAAATAGGGTCCTGTGATCCAGACCCAGACCCAGCATCAGTGGCCCTCACCATCTTCGACTGCAGTGTCCACTTCCATATCCACCCAACTCAAACTTACCGAATTGACCAGCGAACAGCAAGATCCGGGCGTGGAAACTGTACACCCAAAGGCATCTAGAAGCAGAACAGAGAATTAAGACTAGATTAAGGTGATCAAATCTTGGGCTGAAGGCATCTGCCTAGGGTTCTACCTCGATTATTCAACCGAGAGACAGACCAGCTGCTCAGCACCAATTCCTAAACAACGTTCCACGGTCTGTAGCGCCCAAAAGTGTTGGTACTACAACTTCTCCAATCATCGTGTTACTCATCCTGCTTTTCTCATGGACTTCAACTCTCAGAATTAGCTGGCTGGGGAATTCTGGGAGTTGAAGTCCACAGGTCTTCAAGGTGCCAAGCTTAGATATCCCTCCTTTACAGATTTGGGCTCAGTTGGGTTCCCCATCAAAAATACCATCGGTATCGATATGGCTGTAGGTTCCTTCATGATTGTCCCAGAGATGTCTCCACAGATGTTCCTTCAAGATCTTCCAGTCTTGTTTAAGACACCATTGCCCCAACCCCCAGAAAAAGGACAACCACAAGAACTGGCTTTTCAAAAGCTTCTCACCTTCTCCTTTGACTCTCCTAAGCAGATCTTGGAGTTCCCCTTTGACCTCATCAAAGTTCTCCACTTGGATCCGAAAGCTCGAAGCGGGCAGCTTCTCTTTCTTGAGCCTCTCCAGGGAGTCTTTGATGAAGGGCTGCATGTCCATCACCTCTTGGTCCGAGGCAAAGAGGTCCATCTTCTCCACCAGCTGCTCGCCGGCCTCCATTCGCTTGAGGAACTGCTCCGTAGACTCCAGCTTCTTCTTGGTTTCTTCTTGCTCCAGACACAGTCGTCGGTCCACTTTCTCCACAAGTTCCTCCCCCTTGTGCTGGATCCACTGGACCATGTCCTTCACCTTCTTCTGGATCAGCTCTCGGGTCTCGTTCCGTACTTTCTCCAGCTTCTGCAGTCGCTCCTGGACGTTGTGGTAGGTGCTCTCGTAACTCCTCTTCTTCTCCACCAGCTCCACCTTGACCCTGCTCAGTTCCTCCTTCCGGCTCTCAATTTCCACCCGGATGTCACTGTAAAGCTTGGCGTTGTAATGTTCTCCATCGAGCAGGGCACAAGAGCAACACATGGGTTTGCGGCAGCCACGACAGTAGATGCTGTTAGGCACAAGAAGACCAGTTGTTGTTGTTGTTTTTTTAAAAAAAGACACCTGAATCCCTTCTGTCTTTTCCTGAATCAAAAAGATGGCATTGCCAATTTGTTTTCAAGTAAAATGAGTAGATATCAAGTTACAACCGTTTCAGGTTGGGATGGTGTAGGACAGTGATGGCGAACCTTTTAGAGACTGAGTGCCCAAACTGCAACCCAAAACCCACTTATGCATCGTTGAGTGCCAGGTGAGTGTGGCCCATTGGCTGAGTGTTGCCAATTGGGTGGACGTGGCCAATTGGGTGGGCATGGCTGCGGTGGTAATGGCAGACTGGGTGGGATTAAAAAGTTCAATCAATCAATTCCAATCTTTTTTTTCCCGCGAGAAGTTGAAATTGACTGATTGATTGGACCTTTTTTTTTTTTTTTACACGGCAGCAGAGGCCTAAAGCGAAAAGGTTTTATAAAACCCAGCTGAAGGCCTAGGACTGGGGCGACGGCGCACGTGTCCACAGAGAGGGCTCTGAGTGCCGCCTCTGGCACCCGTGCCATAGGTTCGCCACCACTGGTGTAGGAGATGAGCAGACTGAGCCCGAGGGAGGGAGGGGTCAAGCACATCATCTGTCTCAAATCCCTTCGCGCTCACAAGAGATCTCAACTTACAACCGTTTGAAGTTAGGACGGTGTAGGACAGTGGCTCTCAACCTTTTTAATGCCGTGACCCCCAACCGGTCGTAAGTCGAGGACTAAGCCGGTCGTAAGTCGAGGACTAAGCCGGTCGTAAGTCGAGGACTCCCCAACCGGTCGTAAGTCGAGGACTTTCCCTGCCCGGGAGCGTCGTGCATGCGTGGTTCCGCCCCCTGCGCCAGCCGAGGCGTAGCTGGCAAGCGGCAGAGACGGAGCAGGCCGACCACCAGCTGGCCCAGCCCAAGGGAGGTAAGGCACCCGCCAGAAAAGGGGGAAAAAATGGTGGACAGCCTTGCTTGGCGACCCCCGTGAAATGGTCGATCGACCCCAAATGGGGTCGCAACCCATAGGTTGAGAACCGCTGGTGTAGGAGATGAGCAGACTGAGCCCCAGGGAGGGAGGGAGGGGTCAAGGGCATCACCGGTCTCGAATCCCTTCGTGCTCACAAGAAACCTAAATCCCGCCCACCTTGAATTCCTTCTATTCTTAATTCCCGCTAATTTCCCTTGACGGCTAGTAGTTGAGATTCTCGCTGAGATCACCAGCTCCCAATAAACCTTTATATATTCGTTTGAACCGCCTGGACTTCCTGATTTTCCTCTCTCGGCTGCCAAGGAAGACCCTCACCTTATGATCTGATTGTTGTGGCTGGGCTCGGCACAAAATAGGTTGCAAGACTTCCTTGCCCCTTCTAGAAAACTCTGGGCCGTCTCCTTCCTCAGGTCGGCCAGCTGCTGGGTCTCGTGGCTTTTCTGCTTCATGTACCACTGGTGGGCTTCGTAACACTTCAGGCAAAGGAACTCCTCGCACTCGACACACCAGAACTCCGCTCCTCCCTTGCAGAGATTGCAAAGCAGCTCCTGATTCCTGACGATCTTCTGGTAGGTGTTGAGCTTGGCCTGGAGGTTGATGAAAAGCAGGTTGTCCTGAGGCGGAAATCTCTCCGAGGTCTGGATGGGGATGGCGCAGACCGGACACTGCCCAGCGGGCTTGTTCTCCTCAAGGCATTCGCTGCAGAGGGTGTGCAGGCAGGCTAAGAGTCTGGGGTTCCTGGCTTCTCTCTGGCACCGCGCGCACAAGAGGAACTGGAAGTCTCCCTCCATCCTTGGAGAAAAAGGAGAGAAGACAAGATGAAGCCCACGGAGCTAAGAGGAATGACCATCCGGACGATAACTGGACTTCAACTCCCAAAATTCCCCTGGCTCCGGAGTTCTGGGAGTCGAAGTCCACCCTTCTTCCGGCCGCCAAGATTGAGAAACGCTGCTTTAGTTGGTGGACTTCAACTCCCAAACTTCCTCAGCCAGCATCGCGGCTGGGGGATTCTGGGAGTCGAAGTCCACCCCTCTTCCAAGATCGAGAAACAGGGTGCTATAGTATTTATTTATTTTTTTTAAGTTAGGTTCACACACTCCACGTTCAAACCAGGCTGATAAAACAGCTTTCCTTGGCACTTTGAGGCCTCCCAAATGCATTAGGCAGCTTCTGCCCCCAGAGGAATGCTGGGAGTTTTAATTTAATATACCTGGAGGGCGCCTAATTGGGAAAAGGGAGGATTAACCCCATCTTTTCCTAGAAGCGGGGTGAGTCAGGCTGCTTCCCAAAGAAAGAGAATTGATTTTTTTCTCCCCTAAAAGTTATTTTCCCATTATCTGGAAAAGATATGCTCCAGATGTGCACACATACACACACACATTTAAAGAAATGTGTGTGGAATAGGAAGCTGTTAAAAGCAGAGGCAAAGCAAGCAAACATTACGTCATTAACTGTAACAGTTGCTTTTTGAGTACAGGTGGTCCTCAAGTTACAAAAGTGCATTTAGTGACCATACAAAGTTACAACGGATCTGAAAAAAAGTGACTTTTGATCATTTTTCACACTTACGACCGTGGCAGCGTCCCCATCAGAATTCAGACACTTGGCAACCGACTCATATTTATGACCGTGGCAGTGTCCCAGGGTCATGTGATCCCCTTTTGTGACCTTCTGACAAGCAAAGTCAGTGGGGCAAGTCAGACTCACTTAAGGACCGCATAGATAAGATAACCTTTATTGTCATTTTTTACTATGAGCACACTAGCCCACATTAAAAATGAAATTCTTGTTGCCTGCTCTCAAAAGACAGTATATATCTACCCACACCCATACATAACACATCCACACATGCTATATACCAGTGGTGGCGAATCTATGGCACAGGTGCCAGAGGTGGCACTCAGAGCCTTCTCTGTGGGCACACATACCATCGCCCCACCCCCACCACTTCCGCGGCCCCCTCCTCACCATCAGCCCCCCCCCCGGAGGAGAGTAGCCCCGGGTGCAGCCTGTGCAGAGTAGCACAGCCGGGACATGGCAGCCGGGCAGCGGGGACAAGACTCCACCCTCGTGCCCCATTGCGTACAGATGCTGCTGCGGGGCGCAGACAGAGGGCCTGGCCGCCATGACACTGCTGGGTCGCCTGGGCGATCTGCTGTGGCGGGCTGTGGAGGTGGTGGGTGGCCCTGCGGGCAGGAGATGTATGGATGGGGCAGGGGCGAGATGGGTTTGGGGCACTCGGTCTCTAAAAGGTTCCCCATCACTGCTATAGACATATATATGATATAATGTGAAGTAGAATAAGGTGATCACCAGGATAAAATTAGATTAAACATTTATGTTTATGATTTTATCCTGGTGATCACCTTATTCTACTTCACATTATGTATATACCCGGGATTCGTGTTTTTAATACTATTAAGGATATATATATATGATATATATATATGATATATATATATATATATATATATATATATATATATATATATATATATATATATATATATATATATATATATATATATATATATATATATATATATATATATATATATATATATATATATATATATATATATATATATATATATATATATATATATATATATATATATATATATATATATATATAAATATATAAATATATA